ATGTGACTGATGTTAGAAAATTGAGTTCCATCTCAACATTTAGCAAGAAGTTCGCAGAAATAAGCTCTTTCCCCATGCAGTGAATATTATTAGAATAATATTTACAAATTCTTTGTTGAAGGATGATTAAGACCGGATAGGTAGAAACTCCTGCCATTGCTTGTTTTCTTACCTTGATCATTTTTATCCTCTTACTTTAGAAAAATTAGAAAAAGCATATTATTGATGCAATTGTATAGTGACTTTAAATTGCATACATAGACACTCATACCTTTTAGAGAGTATAAATGACTTGAAGCCTATTTCATCCCTTAAAGATAGTAGAATTTTATTTATTTGTGGAATTTTATTTGTTTATTATTGATTGATTTGTGATATTTTATCCACTGTTATGTGGCTAACATCACTATTTCATACAATATTGTTGGTTCCTTTGAAGCATTGAATTTATTCAGTTGTGACATTTGGTTGATACAGTTAGACATCATGTTTAACATTGGTCCAGTTAATACTGCTTTAATGGACTTCAAATGAAAACATTTGACAAGTAAGGTAACAAAGAAATAGTTCGATTTATAAATATTTGCCATTTCTTGTGTTTAATAAATTTTGTTAATAAATGCATATATTATAAATAAATTGTAAATGTTTTATGCATAGGTTGAAGTGGTTGCTAATTAAATGCACTTTTGTAGTAAAAAAAAAATTGGATTGTCTAACTAGAAATTTGTGTTGATTTGGATCAGGGGTTGTTCCTGCATTTTAAATTAGAGGTGATCTTATAGGTAGTTCTGAGAACCCAGAATGTTTAGTATATCATCTATATTTTATCTTCCTAACTAACCATTAAGGTGGGAGTGTAATATCTGCCACTTTAAAGCTCTATGATTATCCTGTTCCTGTCACAGGAGTACTGACAGCTAGAAGAAACCATATAGAGAATAGGACCTAAATATCAAGGAGCTTCTACCATCTCAGCTTTTCCTACATTTAGACATCTTCACATGTCTAATATTAGTACAGTGACTACAGTAATCAAAAGTCACTTCAAGGGCTGGCCTGTGGCTCACTTGGGAGAGTGTGGTGCTGATAACACCAAGGCCACAGGTTTGGATCCATATATAGGGATAGCCAGTTAGCTCACTTGGGTGAGCGTGGTGCTGACAACAAGTCAAGGGTTAAGATCCCCTTACTGGTCATCTTTAAAAAAAAAAAAAAAAAAATCATTTCAGTGACTCATCAATATTGACTTGATGTAGGAAGTTCTCCCATTTATTGTAATTTGAATAATTGATCCTTTGCACCTTATTTTATTTTTTAAAGATTCTGTGTTTGTAGGATTAGAAACTACTTTATTTTCTAATACCTCCAAATTACGATGTCCAGAATGTGGTATATACTTCTATGTGCACATCTGTATTTTAAAGAAAGCCCCAACATTTATAAGTCTATCCATCCAAATGTCTTAATCTCAGGAAAAAGAAAAAAGAAACTGGATCTAAACCCTAGTAACATTAGCTAAAACCATGTGAGTGTATGATGTGGGGGTGAGTGGNGACAACAAGTCAAGGGTTAAGATCCCCTTACTGGTCATCTTTAAAAAAAAAAAAAAAAAAATCATTTCAGTGACTCATCAATATTGACTTGATGTAGGAAGTTCTCCCATTTATTGTAATTTGAATAATTGATCCTTTGCACCTTATTTTATTTTTTAAAGATTCTGTGTTTGTAGGATTAGAAACTACTTTATTTTCTAATACCTCCAAATTACGATGTCCAGAATGTGGTATATACTTCTATGTGCACATCTGTATTTTAAAGAAAGCCCCAACATTTATAAGTCTATCCATCCAAATGTCTTAATCTCAGGAAAAAGAAAAAAGAAACTGGATCTAAACCCTAGTAACATTAGCTAAAACCATGTGAGTGTATGATGTGGGGGTGAGTGGTGATAGCGGTGGTAGGTAATGTGGTGAGGAGACGCTAACAGAAAAATTTTCTTAACAGTGTTTTTTGGGGGTAAGGGGATAGAGAAGGCATGGAATGAGGAGAGCTCTTGGTACCTTAACATAATGTTGTCTGTCAGTGCTGCATATATGATTTCCCATGATTTTAGACTGGAATTTTAAATGCCTCTTTAAGGAATGATCAAGGTCATAATTCTTATGCTGGGAAACCTTTAAAAAATTAAAAGTGTTTCACATGTTTATTGAAAAAAATTCAAAAGTATAGAATTGTTTAAGGTAAAATGTGATATTCCTCAAATGTCAGTCTTTTTGGTAATAGTTAAGTGTGATGCTACTCATACAAATATATGAGGATACTTCAAAACTTTATGGAAAGATTTATATTATCTTTCAATTCCGTTTTTCCATGAACCTTTTGAAGTAACCTCATATATGACATACAGATGTAGATACAGTGTTTATGTATGTGCACAGATGTGTGTATGTATATAAAAATATAAATATATAAAACAGGGAAATATGTTCTATATAATTATATGTAACATGGATGTTGATTGGAAGCATATTTGAAAAGGATTTGGACTTGGAAAATTGCCACTCAGTTAACTGATTTTATGTGGCTCTTGGTTTTCCTCTTATTTCTGTTTCTTCTAAAATCTAGAAATAATTAAAAAGGCAAAACTAAATGTATGCATCACCATTTTAAATGAATGCTTTCAGAGGCTGAGATTTAGCCTCTTTTCTGAAAAATCTCAAACACTACCTACGAGGAAAAAAGTCATCTCATGTTAAGAGCTACAAGGAGATTGTATTAGTCCGTTTCTGTTGCTTATAACAATATACACAGAACTGGATAACTTTTAGGAAAACACAATTTCTTACCTATAGTTTCAGAGGCTAGGAAGTCCACAGTGTGGGGAACACATCTGGTGAAGGTCTTGTTGATGGTGACAGTGACCCAATGGTTACACATTGCAGAAAATGGCAGAGCAGAGAGAGAAGACTTCTCATTCATTCTCTTTTTTAAAGCTCTCACAGACAATACCCCTGACCACCATTATGAATCCATTCACTACAGCATGGTCCTACAACCTAATCAT